TTTTTTTTTTGCTGATTTGAGTTTTTAGTTTCTTGTTTTGTTTTTGAGAATTTGATAGATTTGAAGGACCTATGTGAAATTTGAGTGTTTTTCAATTTAGACCATGTGCCAAATATGTAATTAATAAAGATTATATAAAAAATTGTTATTTCTTATATATTTTTTAATACATATGTTTATTAGGAATTTTGAATAAAAAATAAATGATATAACTATTAAATAAACATATTAGCATGTTTAAATACTTGGGGTAAATTTCGAGAATTGAATTATGTATAGGGGGCTCATTGTAAATTTATTTATATTTTAATTTAACCGATATATCAAATTTGTAATTCCAAAATGTATATAAAATATGATATTTCCAAAAAGGATATAAAATAATAAATAAAAATATTAAAAAATGAGAAAAAATATTAAATTATTGTTGGTCATATTGCACATTATTGACTGACGTGTTGCACTTTTGTGTCGATAAAATTGCACTTTAGCATAACAAATGCACTATAATGTTAATTAATTTAATAATATAAAATATTAAAAACAAAATTATAAATTCTAAATGTACTTTTATTAGGCAAATAATTTAATAAATGTACATTATTTTTTATTAAAATACACAAATATTTTTTTTTTTTTTTAACAATTGAAACGCACTTTAGTACTCGGTTTCTATTTGGTTGGGACGAAAGTTCAATCATTTCACACTTTACAGTAGTGGCCAAAAATTCGTGCACATTAATGATTGAAACATTGCACTATTGTTTTTGTGATATTGCACTTTAGCGTATGTAACGTTGCACTCTTGCATCTGTGATTTTAAATTTTGATTCCCCGACGTCGGTTAATCGGAGATGAACTTGACGATCTTGGAGTCCTCATGATGACAACTGCGGACTCGTCGTAGATGAAGTTCCGGTGCCTGACCTAACTATGTTCCGGTGGTTTCCCCGAGTGCAGGAGTCCCTTGAGATGCAATGCCTTGAGAATTATATTTTTTAGGGTCCTGATTGCAATTTTAAAAAGTTTGATTAAATGTCAATTTAGTACATGGGAAAAATTAGTAATTATGAAAAACTTTATAAAATGTATTATTGTTTATATATCTTTTTATACATATAAATTAAAATGATAAAAACAAAAATATTAAATAAAATAAATATAAAATATTAAAATCATATACGTATAATATATAATAATAAATAAAAATATTAAAATGATAAATAAACTTTTATTATATTATAAATAATAAACTATTTCGTTTGTTTAGGTTAGTTCGGTTAACCAAATAATAAACTGATTATTAAATAAAATAATATAAGATAACAAAATGATTTAAAATAATAATGAATTATATAATAAATTAAAAGATATTTTAATTATTTAGATTAATTAGATGTAAAATTATATCTATTAAAAATAGTTTTTGGATACAATTGGGAAAGTATAAATTAGTGCACTTTATACAGCGAAATATTGCACTTTATGTAACAACGAGTCGCACTTTATAAAACAATATGTTGCACTTTATCATTAGACTCACGAATTAATGTCAATATCTCTCGCCAAAACATTCCGCAATATAAATATAAAAAAAGGGAACGACATGATACTTTATATCCACAAAAACTGCACGGTCACATTAACGTACCAGATTTTAAGTATTACACTTTATATATCAATACATTGCACTTTATACATCAATAGTCAATACGGTGCACTTTATAATACAACACGTTGCACATACCAAAATTACAGTAATTCTAATTATCAATAAAATAATATTAGTTGGTTAATGACGAATTTATTTTTTTTAAAAAAATAAACAAAGTAGCCGAATGTGTCGAACTATATTGAAAACATGTTATCAATATAAATAATAATATTTTTTATTTATATAAAAAAATAATATTTTTTATGTAATGCGAGTGCACATTGGGGTTCTACAGATTGCACATAAATGCTTATCAGATTGCACAAAATCGAACAACATTCACCGAACATAAATTCGTTACGACTTTTTATATTTTGGTACTCATATTATTATTATTATTATTATTATTATTATTATTATTATTATTATTATTATTATTATTATTTTTTTATTATTATTATTATTATTATTTTATATATAGGGTATTTCGGTACAATGACATTTTTTTTATTTAAATAACCGAAATAAAAACTGGACTATATTAAAAAATAATAGTTTGTATATATTTTGTACAACATCGACCACAATTAACAAGACTAATTTTTTCGAGAAACTTTATGCTATTAATAATTATCTATTTTTACTTTTATTTTTTTTTTAAAAAAAGTAGCTACACTATTATAAATATACATAATGAATTAATTCAATTATTTTGATTAAATCGAATAATTGACCGAATAAATTTATCTTTTATGTTCGAATTTTATTTTGGATTGTCATAAAAAATTCCATCGATCTGAATGTCTCATAACCGTGCACATTTACGATCAAATTCGTGCACATTATTGTTATACAAATAGCACATTCGTGTCTCACATATTGCACATTACCATTTAAAAATATTTTCGATTCGAAACTCATATATTAGTTCAAATATATTTTTTGAATTTTAGAAGTTCCGTTATTTGTGTTCAATGTCGGCTTTAGGTTTTAAAATTATTTATCACTATTTTTAAATTTATTAAATTATTAATAATTTAGTATAAATATTTATCTCACTATTAATTTAGTTATAATAAAAATTTAAAAAACTTACAAAATAATCTCTAACATTAATCTAATTTCCATATACTAACCCCTATATCATACACACCCAAATCACCTGTTCACCTTCCCAACCAAATCATCCTTTTACCCAATTCATTCACCCACCCAAATCACACAAAAAAAAGAAGGTCTGTCAAAGTATTAAACAAGACGAACCACCTGAATTTCGATCATTCTTAGCCCAAGCCTCAAACCATCGGCATTTTAACTAAACCAATCTAATTTACCGAAGAATCAGTTGCTAGCCTATGACAAAGGAATAAAAAAAACTGAAAATATGATGAAGGTAAATAGCCTTTGCTAGCCTATCCTTGAATATCCTTACCTCTGCCCTTACGTGTTTACCCGCTGGGATGACTGGTTGGAACTTGGACGAGTTGCTCCTCTTAATAGGGCAAATACACGGATATGAATTAAATCAAAATTTACACAATATCAAAATTCCGGCACCCAATTCATTCACCCAAATCACTCTTCACCCAATTCATTCACAAAAATCAGAAACTAACTCAAAATTCACCCAATATCAAAATTCTGGCCGCCGAAAATTCACCTAAATCACGCTTCAAAATTCATCAGCCCAAAAGTATTTCCGACCGCCGCCACACATCTCCTGTTCAGGTCGCCGGCGAGCTCGTCCAGTCATGGTCACCGTCCTCTCCTAATCCCGATCCGTCTTCGTCTGCAACACCCGGATCTATCGTCTCCCTTGTCGTCAGTACAATCAGGAGTCGGGGACGTTCGACTAGCGGGCTGAGTGAGATTGAGACAGGGGAAGGTGACGGTGATGGCGGTGCTGGGATGGTAGCGGCGACGACAGCGACTTCGGGCAGCGACGGGAAATATTTGGCTAATGGCAGTGGCCGGTCGGGCCGTGTCTGTGAGGTGGAGGGCGCTGATGGGTATGGCCGATGGCGCTCGCCGTGATGGTAGCGGCGGTGGTAACTGGTGATTTGGGGCTGATTTTCCGCCGTGCCCGCTGGAGTGTGTGTGTGTGTATATGTATGTGTGTGTGTGTGTGTGTGGGATATGTGAGAGGTGAATATAAATAAAGTGTGGGCCCATGTGTTACATGTATAATGACTAATTTACCCTTATTTATTAGTCAAATGCACATATTTGACTATAATAGTTCAAATAATTATTAAATTGCCATTAATGATTGACCATTATTTATGAAAATTTGACTTCATCATGGCCATTGACTTGATAGAGAGAGAGAGAGAGAGAGAGAGAGAGAAGGGATCATATGAGAATGGTAGACAATGAAAGAAATAAAAATAAATCTACACCATTGGATCAATCATATAAATGAACAAGATGAAGTCAAACATTTATAAATCTGGCCAAAACACTATGGCATAGTTGTAAATATATGTATATTCCATAGTCAATTGAACACCTCAAAGGGCACTAGTGTAATTTCAGTTTTCACCATAATTAGTGGGTCCCACCACTAACTCTTCCCCTCCCTTCTCTTACACACACAATTACACACACATAAAATCTGTTCATTTTCTACGCACGCACACAAGTCCCCACACACACACACAGTCGCCACCATCACCTACCACCGCCGGAATCCACCTGCCGCCGCCACCACAGCTACCGGCCATCGCCGTCCTACGCCACCTGACTCCGACCATAGCCGGCCTCCAACAGCAGCGAGTCACTGCCCGCAACTGGACTCCGACAGCAGCCAGTCTCCGCCCGCAACCAGCCTCTATCCGCAGTCTGCCTCCACCCTCCGCCGTCAACTCAGTGACCAGCCCGCCATGGAAGCTGCTTCATACGACCGCAACCTACCCGGGCTGTACAGTGGTGGAGCAGACCGACATCCGTGGCAGAGCCGCCGTCTCACTCGACTTCGACGTCGACCAGAACCATCACGGCGGGTTGCCGCCGAACCGACGTGCCCTGCAACTACCAGGCCCGCAACTTTCTCGGAGAAAGCGAATCGCTTCGGAGCTCTGAGAGTCGTTGTCGCATCACCGGCGATGGGGATGAGTACGACCGGCGACGGCGAGGTATTACCGGCGGTGCGCGAGAAGACTTCAGGGGATGGAGATGTTCAACTCAAGGGCTTATTTTTGGAAAATTTGACAAGATTGAGGGACCCTTTTGCAATATCAACAATTTTAATATATTACAATTTAGGCCATGGGTCCAATTTGTAATTAATTAAACTACAATTAATATTTTAATATTTTCAGTTAATAGTTTATAGTTTAGATCTCTATGGCTAATAATAATAATAATAATAATAATAATAATAATAATAATAATAATAATAATAATAATAATAATAATAATTATTATTATTATTATTATTATTATTATTATTATTATTATTATTATTATTATTAATAGCAATGGTAATGATAATAATGATGATAATTTTATATATTATAAAAAAACTTGATTAGCAATAATATTTATTTATTTGCTATTTTTATATTATTTTTTGACTAAAAAATTAGTATGTCTATAAATACAATATATTGTGCAATCAAACCGTTATTAAAGTGCAATTTGTCTAACACTATAGCGCACATTGTCGGTCTGTATTGTGCATATCGAACCAGTCGATTCTTTTCGTCTCATATCAAATTGAAAATGAACATAATTTATTGATTTATTCGGTTCGCTTACCCGAATCATCCTAAAATAATCGAAATAATTTTTTATTTATATTAAAATTATATTTAATATTGTAATAATTTTTTTTACTATTTTTACTATTTTTATATTATAATAATTTGGTGCAACATGTCGTATTATTTTATAAGGTGCAACATGTCGTGTTATAAGGTGCAATGTAATACTGTATAAAGTGCAACGTATGGATACATAAAGTGCAATACTTAAATTTTGATAAGTTAGCATGCTTGTGTGTGTGTATGTGTTAGTGTTTTTGTTTTTTATTCTTTGTGTAGATAAAGTGATGGATATTAAAGTATTATGTAGATCTGTTTATAGATTTATATTGCGTAATATTTTTGGTGGGACCTGTTGATACTAATTAATCGTGGAGTGTGATGATAAAGTACAACATGATATTTTATAAGGTGCAACGTGTTGTTTTATAAAGTGCAACATTCCGCTATATAAAGTGCAATAATTTATATATTTTTGTATAAATTATGTGTGTTCGAAAATTATTTTAATATACATAATTGTACATCGAATTAAACTACATAATTAATATAATATTTTTATTTATTATTTTTATAATATAATTTATTTATTTAAAATATTAACTAATAAATTAAAGTCAATAAGTGCAACGTGATGTTTTATAAGGTGCAACGTGTTGTTTTATAAAGTGCAACATTCCGCTATATAAAATGCAATAAGTTATATTTTTTTTAGTAAACTATATGTATTGGAAAACTAATTTAATATACATAATTGTACATCGAATTAAACTACATAATTAATATAATTTTCTATTTATTATTATTTTAATATACTTTGCAATAAGTTACGTCGAATTATACAAAGTGCAATAAGTTACAATCGAATTATACAAAGTGCAATAAACTATGAAGTGCAGTAAGTTACATCCAATTATACACAATTATTTGATTTCGCAGATTGACTCCTGTGGATTAATTGGAATTAACTAAAAGTATTAAAATTGCAAATGAGTCCCTGAGACTTATCCAATTTCCAAAAGTTAGCCCACAAACTCAAACCCCTTTTTCAACCTCCCAGCCGCGGCTCCACCGCCGGCGACCGATATCCACCTGTCCACGGCACCGTAGGCGCTTGTTCTATCACCGGTTACGTACCTCGGCCGTTCAAACCACTGGTAAGCAATTTTCTTTTTTTTTATTAAATACGTGCCGCCAGCGGCGGCGGTCCTGTCACATGGCGAGTCAACAGCGGCGACCGGAGTTCATGTACGAAGTCACGACGAGCAGGTCTGGGCGACCAGGTTGACGGAGATGGCGGCCTTCTCAGGCAATGTGGCGGGTGGAGGCCGACGGTCGTCATTTAATATGTGTAGTCGATGTGTGTGTGGCGGCCATGTCGATGGTGACGGCAGATGCCGGAAGTCGGCCGGTGGGAAAGGCTACAGTATTCTCCGGCGAGTGTGGCGGGGGAGGCCGTTGGTCATGTGTGTTGTGTATTGAGTGCGAGTGTGTGTAATGTGTGTGTGTGTGAGAGAGAGAGAGAGAGAGAGAGAGAGAGAGAGGGAGTGTGTGAGAGATAGAGGGGGATGAATTAGTGAGTGCGATAGATGATCTGGGAAATGTCAACATTTTAATTGGAGTAGGGCCCACTAGTTATAATGTGTATTAGTTGGTGTGTAAATGTCAATAATACCCTTAATGATATTATAATTTAGCTTTTTTTCCAGCCATTTGATCATCTTATCTAGTGGCTATGATTTATTCTTATTTCTTTCACTAAGCATCATTCTCACTGAAACCCAACCCTATATATATATATATATTGTAATAGCCCAGTTTCTTATTAATAAAAGTGATGTATTTTCTCTTATTGTTATCGCTCATTTTCAGCGTTCGAGTCAATCAGTTCGACTTTAAGTCGAAAGTCTATTCAGTTTAATTATTAACCAAGTTAATTTCGATAATTAATTTTTGGACCGTTTATTTTGTAAACGGACACTAGTCAGGATTAATTATTGGAAAGTATGTTCGAATTGAATTTCGAACCAAGTTCATGACAAGAATTGAATTTCCTAAGTCAAGTATCAAGCCCTAAGTTATATATATAGCATGCGCACGCTATTCACCGTCCAAACCATAGCTTATGTTCTATTAAGTATTAAGATCAAGATTAGATGATCCATGCTTAAGAGTTATGATGGTGCCGTGAGAATTTCTTTCAAGTAGTATTATATGTAAGTTCCACGTGTGATATATCATGTTGATAACTTATGTGGCATATTTCTACTTTATCAAGTAATGACTAAGATTATCTCTAGGCCCCACATAAGGGGTGAACTAAGCATGCAAATTGCCACACCAATTAAGCTCACGGCAAGTGGCTTTCATGGATTGACCATAGGATTTTATTTTTGTCTCTTTCACCTATTTAACGTAGTAAATTGCCGTGAGTTTCCCATGTTTCTTTCCATGCAAAAATCGATATAAAGTCGGCTTATATTTGAGAAAAAGCTAGAGTATTATTGAGAGAAAGGGAGCTTACATTTAGTCACAACTAAAGGAAGGCAAGCGCACATAGCCGATCACACGAGCAAGCACACAAGCCATCGTGCGTTTCGCAAGCAATTCGAGGGGTATACTCTTTTTTATACTCTTTTTATGTATTTAAGTTCATAGTAAAGAGATCATGTTGATATCATGTTATTCGGTCGAAGTTTTTAGCAGAAATGCCTCGGAGGTCCTATATAAGCCCTCCCGAGTGATTTCAAACTCTAACCGGCAAGTCCCGAGAAATTTATGCATATTTAGTCTTTTCAAGTCATTTTATATCCAGTCATATGGGGTTTGC